GCGGTTATTTTCGACCTTTAAAATCCTCGAAAATAGAAAATTCGTTAAGGTTTGCAAACACAACTGTTGTCATAAATGTCAGGGGAGCATTTCGTTACACCCGGATATTTCCGATCGTTGGCAAGTGAAAGTTGTACGCGACATCATAGCTGTTGCAAGGTCGAAGCTGGACACATATTCTGTTATCTTCTGTGCATCCGAATTTTTATTCACGATTCGAGGCTGCGGCAATAATAAAATCCTAGCGCTAGTAATAAAATTAGCGAAAAAATGCGCTTAAAAGAAAAACAGTAAATAATACATTAGGATCACTCACGCGGCACTAAAACACAGCAAAGTGTTGAAATAAGAAAAAAAAATAGATACGCAAGATATAAATTATATTTTTAAATAGTGTTTTCATATCGAATAAGTTCTATGAATTTTTTGATCAGTTCGAAGACATTCTGTCTCGACGATAGAATATTTGAATGACAATAGAGTTTTCGAGCAAAATCTACCGTTGATGGCATCGTGATGCGCCATCGTTGGTAAAGACGACCTCCTCACACTATGCCGCGCTGCGCTGCACCGAGGCTAAAGACCCCGACACACCTGTACGCGAGAGAGCTTAGACGACAAATGCGAATGCCAGATACGAGGACAGATCGCCGAGAGTACAGGGCGAACGTATCGAAAGTTCAAGGCGACATAAGCAACGCGGATTGCGTGAAATTTGCTCGACGTATGGAGGAATGGATAAAAACATTCTATTTCTCTGACTGTTAAAGGCTTTACATTTTTACAAATACGTTTGCAACATTTACAAACAGAATGAAACGAGAAGAAACGTATAATATATCGCGATGTATTTATGTATTTTTTAAATAGAGTTAAAATATACAATATGAAAGTATTTTTAAATAAATTAATTTATTTTAATAATAATTTATAATAAAAAAATATTTACATATTTAATGAATATCAAATTTTAATTTATCTATTTTGATAAAATTTAAATGTACAATAAACGATATGTTATAATAAAAGATTGTTTATTAAAATCTATAATGACGTTTCTGAAAAATTGGGAAAATCATTAATAGGATGATACAGGAATGTCACAAATATATTGCGACTGTAAGAAATGCTTTTATTATAACACTAATCAAGCAAGTACTTAATTCGAGAATCTCCATGTGCAGGTCGTTTACTATCATCCTCCCATAAGGATCCCATTAACTGAAAGCGTTAAGTTCCAACACGCGTTACTCATTTTCGTGAACATAAGGCCGCGACATCAGCGATTTCACGTGTGGAGAAACGGGAAATAGTTATCCGGAGTATGAATCCGAATGGCGTCGAGATGCTTTTATCGCTAAATTTTACGTACCGCTAGTGCTTCTCAGTAGTATCATAAATATCGCATGTGACATCTTAATCGCATCGCGTATGTTATTCCGTTAATCTTAATCTTGGCAATGTATCCTATATGAAATGAATCTCACTGATTTGTATATTACGGTATGTCCACGCCTCTTCCATATAATTATATTTTATTTGTAAAAAGTTCTTTCTAAAAGTTAGTTTGGAATTTTTAGTATCAGATTGAAATTGTTCAAATACTTTTTTAACGTATAAGAGGATATTTCTCTTAAGGGATTGTTTTTCGAATTTTCAGAATTTATTTTAATTTTGCGTAATATTTTTATAGTAATCGTTTATTTAATTAAAAAGAGAAGCATAAATTAAATTCTTCAAATGTGAACTGTTTCACACAAATATATACAAATTAGACACGTTGATACTAATTATTTGATATTTCAACGAACGTATCTTGCAAGACTTATGTTGCTTTCAAAATAAACATTTAATTAATTTGTCGTTTGGAAGTTAAATTGTCCGAAACTAATTGATGTCGATATAATTCGCATTTTGATATAAATAATCTCTTCATGAGATATCTTCAACTCCGACCATAGTTTCCTATCCGCGCGTAATCCGCTTGTACTTATATTTAACTCGTTTCCTTTTAGCGTTGCGCAAACAAAAATCTAAATGCAAAACATTCGACGCTGTGATTAAGATTTGTTTGGGATCAATTTTTAATTGACTATTTATCTCCTAAAATTTTTTTAAAAGTAATTGTCAGTGGTGAAATTTAGCTATTTTAATAACTTAAATCTCTGGAATAGATTTCCTTTCTATAGACTTGTGCATTATGAGATCGTTGACATTTGAGATTCGTATCACCTTTTCTGCAGAAAATTTTGAATTTTACGATATACGGAGATTTAAAAAGATGTACCTGGGATCGTCTAATACAAAAAAAAAACATCCTAAACGATCGGATACCTGATTTCGGGTGATTCACACACGCAAAACTAGGGTTGCGAGAACAGAATCGTCAGAACGTTGGGACCTCAGATCTTTGGACCGACTCGATTGCGACGTGAGAGGGTAAAAAGGGTGAGAGCCATGAGTATCTTAGCGGTAAAAGGCGAGAGGAGTGGGAAGACAGTAGGGTGCAAGGAGTCAGCGAGAGCCGACGGAACCGGCGAAGGAGAGCAGAGAGCAGCGGTGAGCGTCGATACGAGAGTGTCTATTTACGAGTTGTCCGGCGCCGTGATGTCCGGAGTAAAAATACACCGCGTAGAGTCCGTATGTCTCTCTCTCTCTCTCTCTCTCTCTCTCTCTCTCTCTCGTGCGCGCGCGCGCGTGCACACAGTAGAACTCTCTTATAATTCTCCACTGCGCTAGCGCTCTCTCAGCTCTCTCGGTCTCTCAATGCCCCTCCCTCCCTCCTCCTGCCGTCGCTCTCATCCCTTCCACAGTGCTCCTCGCAGCCCGTAACAGCCGCAGAGGGGCGGCGCGGCGCAATTCCGCTTCTCTCTTATTGGACAGCGGCCAACCGAGAGCGGCGGAAAGTGATAGAGAATCACGCTCATAGAGCGCGCGATTAGGGTGCGAAGCGCAATTGCGCCGTAGGGTGTTTCGCTATTCGCTACGTATGTTTTTAATTTTCCGGAGTAAAATGTACAAACGAATGTGCGAGTTGACCAAATTCGGGATGATAAATTCGATATATTATCAACAGAACGTTATGTTTTATATTGAAGCACGGGGAAAAAGAAGGGAGGAAAGAAATGCATTTCTTCCATAAAATATGAAATATTTTTATAAAAAAATTAGGATAAAAATGGACTATGAATGGAAAATTATTCGAACTATAAGAGCCGCTACATTTTGTTGGAGTAAATTTTTTATTCAAAAAACTTACTCCAACTTCGGTCTTGTTTATCCTAAAAGTAATGCTAATTATAAACTGTATCATCCAAATAGCTTCGATCTGATTAATAAATCGACCTGAACGAGCGCGTCGGATCGGCGTGTTTACAAACGCGTGCCCGTTGCAAGGCAGGTACGCGTCACGCCAGGTACGTCTGTGGCCCGACGTGTAGATGCAGAAATATAATCGCGCAATGACGTCACACGCGCGTGCTGTGCAAAACAGACTTCCTCCCGTTTCTTTGCCGTTGTCCGAAACCGAACTACGGCAAATCCGTCGTTGTGGCGACGAGAAGTATTGTACTTACTTTATAAATAATATAAGCTATATCATTCACGTTCATGTAATCTCAAAGTCCAGTAGAATAAAGAAACACTACCTAGTCTATTTGATCAATAAATATGACACAAAATTATATGAAATAAAAATTATACAAAGACTTATTTGATTAGGACTCGGATGATAAGATATCAAATAATCTGGAAGCTAAGTAAATCATTCGGTTGCTCAAATCGAGGCCGCTCTAAAGTATCGGTTGATTTGAAGATACGCGATATGTATATTGCCTGAATGATTATTAGATAATAAACTGCTTTATTTTTCAATGATAATCAAGTTTAAATATATAACAGAATAAATATTTATTTCTAATATACATATTCTATTTTTGCAATAAACTTTATAGAGATAAAAAAAATTATTTCTTTTAATCGCAGATAATATTATTTACCGTTCAACATTCGAAAATCTAGTCAACTTTGCGAAAAATATGTAAAAGGCTAATCTCCTTACTTTCAATTAACTCAGAATGTGTACAACGTTCGCGAGAATCATCGCGAATATTCTCTATAATAACAAAAGATCGGCAAGATTAAGAGATCGGCTTTATTTCGGGCGTTAAAACCTACGCTCTAACCCACGTCGCCTCGTCGCTTCGCTTCGGTCTTTTGAATGGGAGTATTTTTAGCACGCGCCTACTATATGTGGATAACTGTACGCGCCAGCCGCGTATTCAGTTTCCGCGGATCGAGCGGCTTGAGCAAGCATTAAAGCGTTCGATGTGACATCGAACGGAAGTCAAATTTCGCACAATCGCATCCTGATGGAGGCACAATTCGCTGAATAAATGTATTTTCACCTAGACCGCGATTGTTTTGCCTTACGTTAATTTTATAACGTTAGTTTTATAATAGAAAAAAAATTATGTAAGAAAAATGTTGAACTCTTGAGATAAATTATGTATCTTGTACATGACGCTTTTTTTCCGTAGCAGAAGACTGTTATCATAAATTATACATTAATGAGATATGTATATTCAATATATTCAGTTGTTTCGGATGACGAAGCTTAATCTAATCTAACGTATACAATCTTGTTTAATTCGATGTTTTAGTCGATCTTTTTATAGATAATTTATTAAGTTAGTCCTTCAAAAATGAATTTATATTTGTTTAGCCAAACATTCATCTATTCATTTGTTTACTCTACTATTCGGTTGATAAAAAGTATCGGAGAGACTAAGCAAACTGTGTCGTAGCGATTACTGAATTGAATTTGAAAAAAATGTTTACTCAAAGTCTCTTAAAGTCTCATTTGGAATGTAGATCCTCGTTGCTCTACGAGAATCGGCCTGAAGGCTTGAGAGAATCTTGATCTTTCTATAAATTTCCTTTAAAGTTTCAGACACTGTCCTTTTACGTATTATCCCGCTAACATCCATTTCTTTTTGCAGTCACCTGACACGCACCACGACATGGGAAGATCCGCGGAAAACGGCCGCAGCCGCAAGCGTGGCCGCAGTAGCCGCGGCAGTCGAGAGCAGCAAATCCAATGCGCTCGGTCCATTGCCCGATGGATGGGAACAGGCGCGTACAGCCGAGGGCGAGATCTATTTTATCAATCACCAGACTCGCACCACTTCCTGGTTCGATCCGCGAATCCGTAAGTTGAATTGAATTCTTATTTCTCCCAAATCCTGATTTAAGCAACGTATAGATAGAATGGAGATGTTACCCCGAATCTAAATATTATTTTAAGAATTAAAGAAGCTCTCTCGATGCTCACTATTTAATCATCGAACCAGATTGATTCAAATTTTTCAAGTTTCTGGGAATCTTCTGACTTTCGTCCGGAGACTAGAATTTTTTCTCACCTTAATTTCTCAATTTATTTTAATAAATATGCCGAATTTGAATGTAATTAATTAAATTCTGGTGTAAAACTTCAGAATTTCTGAGATAGAAATCGGAAATGTAATGGCTCTAAATATTATTAAAGTTTGACGAAAATTAACATAGGTTGCAAGATTTATATCACTTGACGAGGAATCTTTCCCAACGATGTGATTTACTTTTATTAACATTTTTTGATTGTTGACTAATCCTCATTTCTTATCGTATATTCGTATAAGATATCATTCCTTCAGCATCGCATCTCCAAAGAACTCCGGCATCCGGCGCGATGCTGCCACAAAATTGGCAACTTCAACAACCCACCGGCATCCAAAGCAACCAGAATCTACAGGCCTGCCAGAAGCAAAAGATTCGTCTTCAATCGTTGCAGCTTGAACGTGAACGTTTGAAACAGCGACAACAAGAAATTATGCGCCAGGTTGGCATTGTGAGTCGTCCTTTAATCTGGAGGCTTGATCGCGTGATATTTGTAATAACCATTTTCGATATTTACGCATCTTTTTCGTTGCAGCAACAAGAGATGATGCTGCGACAGAGCACCACGGACGCCGTCATGGATCCGTTTTTGTCAGGTATTAACGAGCAGCATGCACGCCAGGAGAGCGCCGATAGCGGCTTGGGACTCGGTTCTGCATATTCACTGCCTCAGGCTTCCGACGACTTCCTCAACATAGACGAAAATATGGATAGCACGAGCGGTAAGAGCGGCTCGTTCGAAAATCACAATTTTTTCGGAATATAAAGCCTTTTTACGCAGCATTTTCAAAATCCATCGCCATCATTACGCTTATAAGACTCTAGGCTAAAAAGAATGTTTATTCGCTTGCTTTGCTGTGCCATTAAGTTAATTTTCGATTTATGAATAATTGTTTTGCGCGATTGTTCCGATTGCAGAAAGGCACTGTGCGTTGAATGATCTTACGAAACGATTATACCGAAGCCATAAATACATAAGTACGTATTTGCCACAATATCACATTTTGTTTAGTCATACTTTGAATTCGATGAATTCTTTTACAGACGGGGGTGCGCCGATGGACACGCCGGATCTCTCAACCTTGAGTGACAACATCGATTCGACAGATGATCTCCTGCCGTCACTTCAGGTAGGTCATTTTACATGATGATGATTGTTGCAAGCCTGTTGTTAAAACCTTTTGAATGCGGTCTTTTGTATCGACAATTGTTATTGTTTCAGCTGAACGAGGAGTTCAGCACCGATATTTTGGACGACGTGCAGTCACTCATAAATCCTAACACGACCAAGCCGGAGAACGTGCTGACTTGGCTATAGGATTAGAAGTGATACTGCGGCGGATGTCGGCCTATTTAAAAGGATAGGTATTCAGGTTCTCGAAGTGGAAACTTTATTCAGATCTAGATATTAACCTGCGGTCAATTAATTGCATCATTGACCAACGTTGTTTTCAATACTTTCAATCAATGATGCAATTTTTATTTCTTTATAATTTTGTAGGTTAGATTATATTATATTAGGATAGGATTAAGTGTCTACTTCGAACCTAAACACCTATTTTTTTTTATTTATTTCTTTCTATTTGGATTTTTGCGGGAATATATTACCACGCTAAAACAATCAGGATATCGTTGGAACATACTTTTTCATTTCAAGTTTCTCATAATGGAATGATAGAATCGAGAATTGAACTTTTGCTTAATACGTAATGATTTTATCATTAAGCTATCTCAGACACTCTAAAACATCAAAATTTAAAAAACAAATCTAAATATATTTATATGTGTATGCGATTATAAACATAGTAAGTAAATATATAAGTCTCTCTTTTCCTCTCTTTGTCTTTGGAAGGTGTTGGATAGCTTAATGGAAAAATTTGCCTATTAAATGAGAAATTATTAAGTATTGCGCATATGTTATAAGGAATTTTTAATGAAAAAATATTTTCTCGTGATAGAAACGATTAAATAAAAAGTAAATTCACTATAATTTGGTAATACATCGTGGTACCGTATTTCTCTTGTGAAAATGAAAATCCAAATAGAAAGATGTTTATATTTTGTTATATGCCGTCTGAAGAAAGGAAAGAGAGAAGGAGAAAATGAAGGACCATATGCGAATTTGTTTTACTAGCAAGCATGTTAATTGTCAACATATCTAGTCCTTTATTTTCTTCTTCATTTCTTTCTTTGTTAAACAATATTATATTTTATATATGCAACGAAAATTTATATATATATATATTCCGTATTCATATTCGTTAAATTTGACAATCTTGTAAGATCATGATTTTTGTTGCATATGTTGGTATCAAGAGATCGTACAATATTTGTGCTCCTAGCTTGTAATTATATCTTCCTATGGTTTTTGCACGCAGAACAGTTTAGTAAAAGTTAATATAGAGAAACTATGAATGAATTATGAACAATTCAAACAAATTTCAAAGTGCCTGATACGAAAATATTTTGTTATTTCAATATTTTTCTAATGCGAGTCGATTTGCTTGCACGTTTTCGCGCGTGAGGGATTTGGTGCTATTTATATCTTGGGTGCATGTAATTGGAAATTGTTATAAATGTTATTGATATAAATAATATCAATTATAGCAATTATTTGCTATAATTGGCTTTTATAATTTTTGATACTAATACTTACAGGCTTATTATAGATGCACTGGCAATCTTGGGATGTAAATTATGAATACTGACGAAGTCATAATGCTCGAAGATCGTTGAAGATCTTTGAAGTTGCGGAGCAATTGTAATGTTTACTGGATGAAGATAGAAGATATTTTAATACAGCATACTGACGTTAATAATATTTCGAATATGACATACGGAATTGTACAATGTTTAATCAGCTCTTTAAATCGCATATACATGTATTTGAAACATGTTATGTCTGCGATCCTGTTTCTAGTGTAATTTTTTACGAACGATATGCTTCAAAGCAGAGTGCCTTGTCTTTATAATCAATTAATGTGACCATCATTACTCATCTTTTTTGCTACATTAACCGTCCATAGAAAACACTAAATAAATATAGTTATTAAAAGTGATCGTATTTCTAGATCGTCGGCTGAATATTTTTGCCGCGAAAAAACGCAAAAGAAAAAAAAATATATTTTTTTTATATGTAAAGTCTATACTCTTGTTACAAATTGCAATTATATTGATATTTTTCGAGAAATGCTGTTAGATTGTAAACTTCTCACTTACGTTTTATACTATCAATTATGTAACGGAGATTGCCAGAGCGAGAAGAATATCTGGTATTTATAGATTTATCTATATATCTTTTATCTTAAGGAGTTCGCGTTCTGTGTCGAGCGAAGGGTATTGGAGTAGCGCGAAAGAAAAAAGGCCACTAACATTGAATTTTTCGTTATCGCGAATTAACTTACGGCCTATTTATTACCGGAAATCATAAAATATCCGGTAAAGAAGATAACGCGTGTATGCAATTAGTTACATGTGGCAGCTGAAAATATTTGGAAAGAGATTTACGCGACTATTTCTATTACTTAGCAAGCGGCAATATCCATTTGATCGATACATAATGAAGATTGACGTAATTGAATAATTAACATTTGTATTCTTAAACAATGAATAATGTTTATTTACAATAGAGTAATGTATATTTACAAAAATTACACGAAAAGTTTCCATCAAATATAAATATTAACGCGCTTGTGCCATGAAATCGAAATAATCATGTGAATTTCTTACCTCTTTGTATATTAAGGACTTCGACAATCTTATATCATGTAAAACTTTTTGTAGTATCAACATTCTCCCGCCTTTTCCTGTAGTCAGGAAAAGCCTTGGAGAAATTTGCGTTTCGTTATTCGCACGCTCCTGCGTGATGTCTTATTCATTCAACTGATTGATCGTGCGAATATCGAATTTTTGACCGCTTGATTTTTTTTTCTTTTAAGATAGTAAAGAAAGGGCGATCATGTTGTAAACGTTGATTTGACATTTGTGTCATTCATTGTAGTTTTGAACCGACACTCTGGAAGACGGGACGTCGCATGTTGAACACGGTTGAGTATGGTGTGAGTGATCTTTCTTATTTTACGTACACAAGTTCGATTATCTTATAATTGATTGTATTCGAGACATTTTTAATACCATTTTTAAGAACCGGATGAAAAATACGCGTTTTGAGTTTTATACAGTTTTGAGTTTCTCCTTTTTATTCGCTTCCTCTTATCTAAAAATTCCAATTTTATTCAGTCGCTTTTTAGTTTTGTTTTATTCAAGTTCTCCGTGTTTTATGATTTGTAGCGATGTCCCTTTCCGATTGATGTTGCCGTCGAAATCAGTAGCGTTTTTCGGTATCATGAGAATCGATCCGACCGACAGTCTTCCAGGAACGTCATGTAAATCAAGCGCGTTTAATGTATTATTTTAATTGCAATTTAACGATTAATATTTACCATACTGTATCTTGCTTTTAGTCTAAACTCAGTGTAGATTACGTTTTGGGGAGCATTGCGATACGAAACTTACGTAAGTGCCTTCATGTTGAAGATGTTCTTAAGATGAGAACGCAAGTTCCGCGATCTATGTTAATGCGTCGAATAGACTTTTAGATCGAAAACTCCCCGCTTTAGGCTGCGCATTCGCCTCCATAATATCTGAGATTATACACGAAAAGCAATTAGTTGTTTAATGTCAGTATTTAAATATGCTCATTGGCAATATTTTGTGAGATACATTTTTATATCGATAACAAGTGCCTTAGTAATAACGATAACAATAAATATTATTTACTTACGTATCGATGTAATATTTATTTCCTTTCATCTTTCATTCTCTTCGTTTCATTGTTAATACTGTGCATCATACAAATATGTACAGTTTTTGTAAACATCCATCTAATTACTGTTTAGTATTACTATATTCTCATTAGTTGTAACAATCCTTCTCCACCTCAGTCATATTGCTTGTGGCCGAGCGTGGTGACTTCTCTCAAATGTCTGTGATGCGCATGCTGATTATACACAATCATATAGGACCTACAGTTTAACGTTGATTTCGAATGACGAAATTTTTTGTCAGAAAAGTGCTCTTGGCAAAAATACTCTCAGTGGTTTGCGATTGTCTGCCAAGAGGAGATACGAGCGTACGAAAATTTTTCAAACTCGGTTAATGAGTGCAGCTCTATGTGCAAATAGCTAAAGCAGTTTTCCTGGTATAAATATGTACAACTTGTGTAGATACGTGCTCAATTATTGTCTAGTAATAAAAATTCTGTATTTCTCTATTGTATTTCAATATAAATTTAATTCATGGAAAATATTATGTCATGACGTAACTTTAATTTATTAAAAATCATAATTTTTTTGGACAATTATTTTTTAAGAATTTAACATTTTTATAGATGAATACGTTTATAATAACACGCGCCTGATTCATATAAGATTTTTTGCTTAGAGGAAATGCTAATTGTAAGAGAAATTCTCCGCTTATCGGTAGAATATTTTTTTTGGTGAGCCTATCAGAAACTACATATTTCGATATATCCGATTTCTGATTCATGATTCAGGTTGAAATCGTGTTATTTCTATTGTTATTGTTATTCCCTCGCATTGTGTCTTGGACTTTACGTAAATTATTATTTCTATTTAATTTAAATTAATCTGTATCAAATTTAATCTGTATCAAATTTAATTTGCACATGCAAATGATATTCATTTATATTTCATTTACATTTCAAAAAAGTAATAATTTAAATTTAATAAAATCTTTATGAGTGCATTCGAGGAGCGCGTTATCAGCGCTATTTATATCGTCTATCTTTGTTTTACATACCATAATAAACAATGAAGATAGAATGACACAGATAGCGCTAATAGTGTCTCCCCGAATGCACCCTATATGTAAAATTTAATGTGAAATTATATATCGGTAGTGAAATTGTTTATTTAATCAAGTGGCTTTTATTTATTTTTTTATGATAGTGATACAACTAGCAGTTCGTGAGCCGCATCCAGCTCGCGAGACTTTCTATTTCAACTTGCAGTATCCAAATCTGATCGATGGAAAAAATGAAAAATAAATTGAGTTATTAACGCATAGCACCGAATTATTTTGATGTGTAACGTAGAATTATTTATATATATATATCACATTATTTATATATATATATATGGTATATATATATATATATACCATATATATATATATATAAATACACTACGCGCATAAATTAAGGGCAGGTTCCCGTCCAAATCGATGAAAAAAACGAAGATTTTTTTTTGCTTAATTGTCATCCTTATGTTGTCGAGAATACGTGGGAGAAAAAATATTTCGATATATGATGTAGTTCACGAGATATACGGGGTCGGGCTTAACAGTTCGACGGCGCTCCGAACTCGCCGAACGCGCTTTCGGCGCGGCTTAGAGGGAAGACCTTTTTTCTACATCTGCCCTTCAAGAATCTGTCCAAAAAGCCATTCGACCAGTGTATGAGGTTCTTTCCAGTGATGATTTATTGTAAAGATGCACCGGTGGAAACACTCAAAATGATAACGAAAGTTTCAACGCTTGCATATGGAAACTTGCTCCCAAACACGTTCATTGCGGTGTACAGACGATAAGAATAGCAGCATATACAACTGCTGGTATCTTCCATGAAGGCTGTTCATCTATTTTCAAAACTATGGAAGCGCTAGGAATCATCGTTGGGAACAATAGCAGAATCTTCGCCCAGAAAACTGACGAAAAGCGCATCACGGCAGCG